AATTCAGTACCTTACCTCTACTACAACTCTTATGTTCTTGAATACATGAAAAATTAGATTTTTTTTACTTACTGCTCTTTGTTGTATCTTTTTTTTTTGTAATCTCACACAAATCTCATTCAAATGATTAAATAGGTTCAACTATGTAACTCATAGCCTCAAATTCTGTAGGCCAGTTACCATCACTAAAGTTCTAGTTAGTTAATCAGAATTTGAAATTGTATAAAAAGCCTTGTATTAATGGATGCAGATGTATCAGATGAATGATCCTGTGGTTTTTAATATTTGCATAAGGTTATAACAAAGTAGCATTAAGTCTATTTATTATATCTCATGTGCATATTTTATATCACAATAGCTTAGAAAAGTAGTAAAATAAGCTTGGGTTAATAACCATGAACTTAGATCTTATCTAGTAACCAGCTTAAAGCTGCAGAGCAACTTTTATCACTTGTATTTTAAGTTTGCACACCTTGATCACACATACCTGCTATTCCAATCCAGGCAGAATCATTTTGAATTTCATACCCATTTCCAAATTAAAATGTTCTATATTTTCTGTTCAAATTTTTTAACTTGCAGATACAAATAGAAAACACACAATGCATGCTAATAACTCAGTAAAATGTATCTTATTTTCTCAAACTTGGTGTCAAATAAATGTGTGTGTATACATCTTTATCTTGTGTGAACTACTATACATTCAACTATAGGCTTTGACCACTGTCTTGTATATCGGAATTATTGAATTTACAAAATGTCTTGAAAATGACAGAGTAGGAAATATATCTTAGCAGAAAGATTCAAAGTGTTAGGATAATGAAAGTAAAATTTTTACAACTGAGTAAACACAAGGCAAATGCTTTGTACTGGTTTAGAGATTAATATGTTATGGCATACCCAGATGTTATTGGTCCTTTAAAGCTTGGAAATACATTTAAGATTGGCTGTCAATGCAAGTGCTGATCACAAAGATTTTATATTGTGCCATTAAATAAATAAAACTAAAACTGAGTTAACACTTTTTGACTAATTGAGCAATAAAAAAAATGTAAACACAAAGCTGGGACTTTTACAAATCTACTTTTCTTGTTTGGAAAGTTGGCAGGTATGTGAACTATGTAACAATATATGACTGCTCTTTATAGTACTACTAGCCTCTTGGTAATTTAGTGCAATCCAATGCAGTGTTAAAAATTTAAATGTGATTTGTAGTTCTTTACTTAATGTTGAGTTAAACAATATTTGATATTTAGAAATATAGTAGTAGTAACCTTCGAAAATTGGGGCAATTCTTTAATCAACCAGCATACAAAGCTTCTTAAACTAAACAGAGTGAATTATTATTTTCATTTATGTAAATTGATTAACAATAATTAAACTGTATTATAACTTATTACCGTATAATATTTAAGAGTGGGTCTCATGGTTTAGATACATTAATTTTTTGTGGTAGATGTTGCAAGACAAAACACAAGCACATACTGAGCTGGTATGTGAGGAACTGTGAAAGAGGAGAGAAAAACAAAACCTTAATTATCAGCATTCTTGTAGTTTACTTATAATTGAAACAGATTTCTTTTATTCCTTGACGTTATCGTAAAGTTTTAGTTAGTTAATTTTATTGTTACATGTAAATATTGGTCTATTAACTTTTCTGATCACTGCCAATATTTCACTTTAGAAATGCATGTGTGACAAGTTTTTTCAATGGTATTTACCAGTAAGTATAAGCACAATAAGAATAACAGAGGAAATTTAACATTGGTGACAATATGTTTTGTGTCAAGGCTGCCAAATAACAGATTATAAGTACAAAAACTCTTAGATGTGTTAAGTCAAGGAAGTTTCTAATACCTTTTTTTTTCTTTTACCATTGTTTATGAAGAATGTATCCAGACATGAGTAAAGGTATAATAAATGGCATGTTGTTAAAAGCTCTGCAAAATGAACATGCGTGTAGTACTTTAAATTCTAAAATGTTGAAATTGTTTTAATTCATCCAGTTTAAATGTTTTAAAATGAAGACATACATGTATGTTGCTAAAAGTATTTTAATTATAAGTTTAATTTGTTCTAAATAGTGGCAAGTTGGTCTGAATCAGCTTAGCAATTTGGAATCAACCATAAAACAAGGCAAAGAACAGAGTTCATCAATGGAAAGTTACCCATTTATTCATCAAGTGGTATTTGATGTTGCCAAAAGACAACTTTCAGGTGTGTACAGACAATTATTCTTTTGTTTGTTTTCAGTTGCAAGTATCTCTTTTTTTTAAAATTTCACTTTTCCTTTCTTTTAAAAACAAACTTAATCAATTCACTCCCTGTGTTGAAGAGAATAGAAACTTATAGTTGCAACTACAAAAAAAGTTAAATTTCATAGCCAATTTTCTTTTTGTCCTTCAACAGTAATGAATACACTTCAAATTAGAACAAACAAGTCAGCCTTGGTTACTCATAAGATGATAAAGACGATTACATTAAGTTTAATTGCACTACATTTTGCTTGACTTTTAAAAACTGTCCACGATTTGAATAAAAGTAACATTTTGAAAATCAGAACAAACATAAGTCTGGAAATCATTAAGATCTACAAAATTGTATTATCTATACTCATGTTTGTGCTATGAACAAATTATTTCCTGGAATAATAAAAAAATATCTTCTCTTTCCTACATATATATTAATATTTGTATTTATACTTGATTTTTTGAAACAAGAAATTAAAATGCTAAAACTACAATCACTATAACAAATCTCTGTTTTTTCAGTGAGTACTCGATTCTTCAACTACCGAGATATTCTAAGTCAAATTGTAGGTAATTGTTTATCGACTTTGTCTGATTAAACTTTTTTTGTTATTGTTTCTAATTGAAAAGTTGAAAGAAAACCTATTCAACCTTTATTTGACATAACACTAGTCTCCTATTAAAAAAATTAGGAGTATTCTAAGAAAAGGATGATCCATATATTTTTAGGTGGTTTTCTTCCATTCAGCTCAAAGCAAAGGGTGGATTTCATGTTTGGCCGTCATATTCAGCAGATTAGGGAAAATTTCAAAAAGAATCCTGGGTTATCAGAAGTAAGAGTTGTGTAAGTGTAATAATACAATAAATAAAATTTGAAAGTATGAATTAAACAGTCATTAAGGTAAAGGACTGATTATATAAAACTGGTTACAAAATGCCCTATCTGAAAGGTTTGTGTACATGAAACATTAACTTCAAAAAATGCCATTATAAAGTAAAAAACAGGGTGTAATATTTTGTAACATGCACATCCTCCTCTTCTTTATGATGTGTGTTATCTTAAAGCAAAAAATGTGGCTCCAAATATGAAAATTGATGGGTTTTTTGGGTCAACTTTAACTTCCAGTATGGCAGATTGCATATATATTTATAGTACCAACACATAATAAAGGAAACTGCTTTTAAGACAGCCTGCAGGAGCTCAGATATGAATCTTCCCAAAATCCATTAACATAACAAGCGAAGCATATTATATTTACATTTTACCATTGTGTAAGCTATCAAATTAACATGTTGATATAGTATAGCTACCTTTTTATCTAAGTATGATGTAAAAGACAAAACTTAAGATTTTTCAGCTGATGTCTCTAAAGTTAAATTTGTATTGTTTTTTAAACCTACATAATTTAAGGACAGCAAGGGACCTGTTGGTTCATCTAGAGTGTCCCAAATACTAAATTAAAATAAAACACACAAAGCCTGACATTATAATTCAAATATTTATCAAGCTTTCCCTTAAATTCCCTAGTCCTACTATTCTCACTATTAGCTATAAAAATAGAAGATGCATCAACATTATCAATTTCTTTAACAATCTTAAACACCTTAATCAGATTCCCTGTAAATCTTCTTTTTTTAAGAGAAAATAATTTCAAATATCTTAATATGATAATCTTTCCATCCCAGGTATCATCATAATAACTTTCCTCTGAAATATTTCCAACAATTCAGTGTCTTTTATATGTTAAGGCACTGGAGACTGAACACAGTCAATACTCAGAATGTGGCCAAATAAATTATGACCTCTTTTAGACATGTATTCAATATTTTTTTAGATAAAACCTAAATTCTTATTTGCCCTACAACTAGTAATAGCACACTGACTAAAGTAAGTTATTGAATAATTGGTACACCAAGATCCTTTTTTTTCCAATACATTGTTCAGATTATTCCCATCAAAAGTAAGCTCATAATTCAAATTGTGATATTGCTCATGCATTACCTGGCATTTATTTTAATTAAAAGCCATCAGCCTTTTGTATATCATCAGCAAATTTAAATAACTTATTGACCATTCCTTCATTGATGTAAATATAAAAAAAAAGCAACAATCCCAACACTGAGTATCTGGTACTCCACTTGTAAGAGTAATCCAGTTTCACTGAACTCGATTTATAAAAAAACATTTGCTTTCTTCCAATCTATCCCTCACAACTACAGCAATAATTTTCTTTAACAAGTCTTTATGTGGCACCTGGTAAAATTTTTTTCTGAAAATCCAAATGCACCAAATCCAGACTTGTCCCCTCATTTACATAAACAGTAACCTTTTCAAAAAATATCAAAATATTTTCCCCCAATGAAACTGCTGAATATCCAACAGTTTTAAATTGTGTTAAATGACTTTGCAAAGCATCTTTTACCAGACTTTAAAAAGTTTTTCTTACCACCGACAGACTAGTAGGGGCCTAAAATTACTGGAACAATTTTTGTCCACTCTATTGAAGAGAGGAGTAATATTATCTAACTTCCAATTTTCTGGCATCTGCCCACTTTCAGAAATTTGCAAGTAGCTCATATATCCCAACTTAACCTTCTTCATAGCTATTGGGGGTATATTATCTGTCTCAGGAGCTTTATCATTCATTAAACTTCCCTTTTTTTTAAAAATAAATAAATCAGAATTAATATCATAACCTTGTTTCAGGACAAAGAATGTTGTTTAAATCTTCATTATTAAATATTGAAGAAAAAGTTGAAATTTAATAACCCAGCCTTCCTACATCATTCATCAAAGTCCCTTCTCCCATCCTAACGTTTTGTTTACATTTAAAAGAAGTCCTTACTATTAATTTTTACTTTTTCCACCAACTTTTTTTTCATATGCTTTTACTATTTGACCAACTCTCTTGATCTTATATTATGGCAGTCAGTTTAAACTTTGTATATTTATAATGCTTTTCTTTAATTTTACCTTTTATAAGCCAACATGGTTTTTTACTTACAGGCACCCTTTTATTCTCTAAGGGACATGTTTATCTTGAATATTTCAAAATTTTCCACATTTGATCAGTATCTCCTAAATTAAATTGACTTTTGTCTCATCTATTGGAAATTTGCAACTAAAATATCATTATTCCTTATCTCCATATGCAGTAAAACATCAAAATTAATTGATCACTTGTTCCCCAATCTCCATGTTATAACTTAATAAATCTAAAATAGCACTGTTCCTAGTAGGTTTCCTAACCAATTGGTGAAGCAAACCATCTATAAAGTTTTGGGAAACCTGCCTCCATCATAAGTTGACAAACATTTCCCAATCTAAATGCCTGAAATTAAAATCTCACATAATTACAACCTTATTAACTTCTGAATTCTTTAGGAATAATTTCATTATTGAAAATTAATACTGTGTTTAATAGTCCCTTTGTTTGTCCCCCCAGTATAAAATATTAAGAGATCTCTTTAACACGTACTGAAGACAGTATTGTTTGAAATGTTTAGCGTCGTAGATCATGAAACTTATACATGTAAACTCTCTCCACCAGCTCCCTTGATGGGAAATCTGTATTAGCTCACCAATCTTCTGGTGAACAAGCCTTTTTCCAGGAAATAAAACCACCCTCAAGTCTTGTGCAGACTACTAGCCGTTCAGGTTCAAGTCGGTCCACTGGAGTAGTTGATAGACTGCGAATGGAGTTTGCTTCTCTAGTACATTAAATTAGAGTAGTTTCAGCAACTGAAAACTTTTCTGAGTCTTTAGGCGCAGGCAGCCACTCATACCCTCTCAGGAACTTAAGCTTTTGTGCTTTTTTTTTTATATCGATATATTGTAAATAGAGCTTGTAATGTATATAATTGTGATGTTATGTACAGTCTTATAACGGTGATAAAAATATATGTAAAACTGTTAACAAAAATACCTTTAATGATTAAATCCAACTATTATTTTATGTGTGTTCTGAAAAAAATTGGACTATTTAGATTATATTTATTATATAAGATTAGTTTTGAGGTTTGAAAGACAAAATCCTTTGTAGATCAGTGCTAGTACCAAAGTGTTCTGTATGTTTACCTTTCTATTCAACAGCTTCATATTGCATTATTTCTCAGGGTTAAGGGTAAATATGGCATTTTTATTGTATTTTTACCATGCCATTTTATAACTTTTTATTAACCTGTATGCATTTTAAATAGTAAGGTGAATTTTCGGTAAATACATAGTTTTTACTAACAACTTTTATGATATGCCCTATATTTGTTAGAAAAGTTGCAGCCAGGAGTAACATTCCTGATTTTGAGAACTCATTTTTAGTTCATTTTACTGATTCCTATCCTCTTTTGAATTATTACTGTATTTACAGGTATCAAAACAAAACACATTGCTATATTCTAAGTTGTAGCTAGGAGTAACATTCCTGATTTTGAGTTTGTGAACTCATTTTACTGATTCCTATCCTCTTTTGAATTATTACTGTATTTACAGGTATCAAAACAAAACACATTGCTATATTCTAAGTTGTAGCTAGGAGTAACATTCCTGATTCCTATCCTCTTTTGAATTATTACTGTATTTACAGGTATCAAAACAAAACACATTGCTATATTCTAATAGAACATTAAAGGAATAAGACATGAAATTATATTACATAAACTTGGAGACAGAGTTACCCAAGATGTCAAGATGAATTACCTGTTGCTATCTATAAAGAAACTTAAGCAGATATGCATCCTAAAACATTCTAATAGTTAAATTTTTATTTTGTTACAGGATGTGATTATATTGTCATAATGTGATACTAAATTATAAGTAATTTTGTGATTGGTGATTTTAATCAAGTATCAATACAAAATATGTATAATATACAAGAGTCCTTCCTAAGCGCAATTTAGATAGACTTTTTATAATATCTGAAGTAGAGCTTGGCTATTAACTTGAGTAGTGTCCGAGATTATTCCAACTATTCAAGTAATCAAAATATTACCATTGTTAATTTTGATTTGTGTCACAATTCATGAAAATAATTTTTCATTAGTACAAACATCCAAGTCTTTATTTGAGAATGATATTTTATCAAATTACACTCATCACCCAGCTTCAGTCTAAAGTGTATATCAAATCAGTTTTGAATATCTCTCTTGACGATGAAAAGGTGATGTTTATCAAACTTGTATGATATTTAAATGTTTCATGGTAGTGTCAACTGTCATGTTTTTTATTTTAACTATATATTTAGTTTATAAACAGAAAAAATACTAAAATAACTTTATATTTATTTGTTTATAAATTTTGTACCAGTTAAAAACATCATGGTTTCATACCTACTGATTTCAAAATGTTTTTTAACAATGTAGATGCTATGTAGTTTATATTCTGATTTGACAGAAAACAATCAAGAAAAACTTGTGACCCATTGTGTCCACTTTTACCATGAATTTAATGTTATTGGAGAAAAACTAATAGGAAACTTTCATAAACCAAAAGTGAAGAAGTCTGAAGAGTGTCCAACACCACTTTCTTCTATTTGGTGTGTTAGTGTGAAGTTCAAGTCATCAAAGCAGCATCCAGTTCATTGAAGAAAAAACTCAGTTTTTAATAATCACAAATATTATTGACATTTCATTGTATCTATATAAATAACAGGATAACAATTCAAACTTCAGTTGGTGTCTAGCATTAACACAGCTAATAATGAATGTGTTTTGTATCTCATGCAATGAGTCTAAAATATTTATACAAAAAATATATATTTATGTAAAGATTCTTTTCTTAATTTCTTAACCAAATAGTAAGCTTCAGCAATTGGAAATGAAACTCAAAGAAAGAAGTACCAATGACCAGGAAGGTAAGCATTACTACTTTCTTATCTCAGTTTTTGCACCTAACTTGACTTTATCTAGAAGTTAATTAATATGATAATCATCACTGCATTCCTTAGAGAAGACTTTAACATGATTCTTTTTTAGTGATACGGCATTAAGGAGGACAAACTTAACAATGCAGTGTAATTTTATAGATTCGTGTCAACACTGGTGAATAGAAGGCTTTTCTACTTGCTATTCATTATAATCTGTATTCCTACTTTATGTGTATCACAGTCAATTTGTTATTTAGTCTACAAGATATTAAATTAGTAAATATTACATCTCAACTGCAGTTTTATTTATTTATTGATGGCTGGCTTATGGCATTTTGACCCTTAGACTGGGCTTACTAACTATTACATCTGAAGATCTCTAGATAATTCTACATCTTGAAATGTATTTTGCATTTCATGCTTTAACGTTATCTCGACTAGTCTTCCTATGGTCAGGGGTCAAAGGGCATGTCATCAGATTTGTAGACTTGCATTAAAAATGTTATTGAACTATTTTTATGTATGTACGTCAAAAAGTTTGGTATCAAATTGTAGATCATAATTCAAATTTTAGTCTTATACATTAGTTAATGTTTTAATTTAAAAGTAAATATTAAAAAATAATTCTTAAAT